GCTAGAGGGGGAGAGAGTTCCTGTGGCAATGGACTATGTGCTCACCGGCGAGGGGGCGGCTTTTATAGCCGGGCTTGGGCGGTGGGAGGGCGGCCGCCGCACGAACGCGTGGCGGGCTCGGGCGGGACGGCGTCACGCCCCTTCACTGCGCCGCCAGTGATGCATCAATGGAAGGCTAACCGGCGTGGCAGCCTTTGCATTGATTCCTCGCGGGAAACCGAGGCGATGAGGTCGACGATGCGCCGGGGTCGCTAACTCGGCGGCCCTACGTACCAAGCTTTCGCGCCAAAAACGCTTTCCCCGGTGCCCCAGCGCGCCGGGTTCGACCTGCGTCCGCCAACGACAATTTCGGGCCAAACCGGCGAAAGTTGGTTTCTGGGGATGCGATTGGGCTATTTTTTAGCGCCAGCGTTAAAAGAGGGCCACCCGCCATGGGGGGCCTGTTATGGACGTAGCTGAAGATGCTTTAAGCTATTTAATGCACTTAGCACAGTGGAAGAAGCCTAATTGAGCTGCTCTTTTGTTTTGTTGTTACTTTTATTTGAGGCCTCTGAATTTGCGATCAACTGGAGTTTGGAAAACAGCTATAACTGTCAGCCGCTTGCATGTGCGTCGTTGCATTTTACTCCAACTTTTTTGCCCTGACATAGCAAGTCATTCTTTCACCAGTCTTGTAGCTTGTACCCTCCGGAACGGAATGGAAGACCGTGACTGAACCCAAGTCACGTCTGTACTCATAAATTACACATTTTTCAAAGCAAAATTGCTTTGATCTGTAATGAACACATACCATTATCCATAGAATTTTTTCATATTTTTTTAAACTTTTAAACATGGTTTTTTTGTACTCCGTTGCTATTACTCTTTAAGAAGACACAAAAAACAAAATAATGAAGTTTTCTAAGAAAGAATGAATTTGTGGCTTTGGTATTACCCTTTAAGAAGAAAGAAAATGAAAAGAAATGTAAAAAAACAATGAAAAATTTTGCACATAATATACACAAGAAATGCGCTTTTCAAAATATGTAAGAATAAACATATAATAGTGGGATTTTCAAAAAAAAGTATCATAAGAAGGAATAAATTAGTGGCGTTGGTATTATCCTTAAATAGGAAAGAAAATAAAAAATTATTAAATCAAAATAATAATGAAGTTTTATGGTATTATTATTTAAGAAAAATATAATGGAAAGAGTTTTAAAAAAACTTGCATACAACTTTGTACTTTTTGTATTATACAAAAACAATCATGTAATAGTGTAACTTTTACACATACTACATTCTATTTGTGTGTATACATTTACACTCACCCAACTTCACAAAATACCTCAAATGAAAAAGTAAAAAGTAAAAATAAACAGAAACAACAGGAGAAATGCATAAAAACAGAAAACATAAAAAAAACAAAAGGAGAGGGGAGAGTTGGGCAGTATAGTTAATGGGCTTCAGCCCAATAGTAAATCGACTCATCTAAGTATGCGGCCAGTTCAAAAAGAAACAGTCGAAACCAGCTCATAGAACAACTCAGAAATGAAAAAAAAACCCTAAGAAAACCAGGAAAGAAAAATGAGCACGAATATCGAAGCAGAAATCAACGGCCAAAAAAGTCGACTGACCTAAAAATAAATTTCAGACTAGTTGGCCACAATGGGGAGGAACTTAAGAGTAACATCACACACTCCAATACAACTTTGCTTATGTGGCATATATTTAATGAAGAGAGAGATGCTTATGGTAACTAGCTAAGGGAGTGTTTGTTTCAGAAGTCCTACTTTTTCTAGTCCTAGGGACTAATCAAAAAAGACTCCAATAGAGTCTTTTTCTAGTCTCTGTAGAAAAAGTCCCTGGTTCCTAGGGACTTTTTCTAGTCTCTGGGACTAAAAAGTCCCTGAACCAAACACCCACTAAGTTACCGAAACATCATACACTCCAACAAACAATGAATCTATAACCTAATAAATACATCGTTGCGTGACACTATGAAGATAGTAACATAGTCTAGGAAAGTGTGTAAGTTACTAGCTTATGTTCTTGCCTATTGTGACCAGCCTTACATATGTCTAAAGTGAACTTAATTTGGCTTGTCACAATGAGTATGGGTCTATGAGTATGTGACACCGATGCCAGAATTCCTTTGCATAAAAAAGACCTTGCAAATATTTTCTATCAGAGGCAGGGCCCCAATAGATGGTCTCAAGTGGCCACTGCGTCAGTGGCGGATCCAATGGGGGTGCCGTGGGTGCCCTAGCATCCCCTCCAAGCATGCAAAGCTAAACTGAGATCTTTTTATGGTCATACAAGGCATTTATACTGTGAGTGATAGGTTTGGCACCCCCATGGTCAAGCTCTAGGTCCGCCACTGCACTGTGTGACATAGCTGTGTCACTACCAGAGATTCAGCAAGGGGTTTCTGCCAAATCCTCATGCACAAGGTGGGTACCATCTATACATGTGTTTGTCAGTTTGTTTCACCTCCTTTATCAATCTCATACTATTGACATTTTATTCTGTTGTAAAATTTATTTCTTCCTTCAAAAAATATAAGAGTGTTTAAATCACTAAAATAGTAGCTGAAAACTGAGGATAAAAAGAGGTGGCAAAGGCTCAAGAGCAAAGTGATTGTAAGCTAGTAGTACAATTTACTGCCGTGACATTGTAAGCTAATAGAAAGCCTTTGGTCCTGAGTACGTTTTTTACACTACATTAGTGTAAAAACGTTCTTATATTCTGAGACGGACCGAGCAGTATATTATGATATGAAGGGAGTATATCCTAACAAACTTCTATTCATCCTATTGCATGGACGGATTAATACTAAAAAGTTACAGCTTTGTGTTCTATCTCTAACCATGTCGCCGTCGCGTGCACATTCATTCTCTGGATTCCTCCTCGTTTCTTCTTCCAAGCACCACCTGAAGGACGGCGGCCACGGCGGCTCCGATAACGAACCACGTCACGCCAGCCAAGACAACCTGGAGCTCGGAGCTATTCACGACTCCCAGAGCGGCCGCACCGCCGATGTGGTCCTCGATCACGCCCCCGGCCATCTCCTCCCTGTTGTACCCGGCGATCCCCGCCGCGACGATCGCCATCAGCAGCGGCACCGTCAGGTCGATCCTCACCCTCCTCTCGGTCGGTCTCTCGCCACCGGACGCTCTTCGCACCCGTCTCCGCGGCGGCGCGGCGCTCTGGGCCTCCGGCGACGGGAACGAGGCCGTGGACGGCAGGTTCCGCTGCGGGGTCCAATACTCATCGCGCTGGCGAGCGTACACCGCTGACGCCGTTGACCCCTCCGCCTTGCGTCGCGCGGCTGCCTCCTTGAGCCTCTCCGTGACGGGGTCGGCCGGACCTGAAGGAGGCGGCGGCGACGATGGCGGTGGCAGCAGGCGGAGAGGGGCAGGGACCGCGGCGGCGGCGGCGCCGGCCGGGGCTCTGAACGGCCGCCAGTACCACCAGTTGGACATGGACATGATGGTCTGGACCGCCGAGCTCCTCGACCGCCACGTCGCCTCCGACTCCTGCGTTCACCATTCACCATGGATGAGATTAGCAGAGCAGAGCAGAGCATGTTCTCGAGGCAGCTTGTGGTTGGATGAAATTAGTACCTCGGATTGCCTGGTGGCGGATTTGTTCTCCATCTTCTCGAACCTGGCCTTGAACTTGGCGACCTCGGCGAAGATGTCGGGCGAGCCGGCGGCGTTGGCCTCGGAGACGCGGACCCTGCGGCGCGGCAGCTTGGACATGAGGAACTCGAGCGCCGCCAGGTCCGAGCGCTCCACATAGGAGATGCAGTCGACGGGGCAGGTCTGGACGGCGTCGGCGATGCGGTCCTCGGGGTCGGCCCACTGCGCGACGACGCGGGCGCGGCCGTGGACGGACTCGATGGCGAAGGTGCGGCTGGCGTGGAGCGCGCACTTGAGGCACCCCACGCAGGCGACCTCGTCGACGAACACGGCGCGCGTCTCGGCGTCCCCGCCGCGCCACGACGAGTAGAGCGGGCGGCCCGTGTAGCCCTGGAACTCGGACCGGCGCGCGTGCTCCCGGTCGTAGGCCTGGCGCTGCGCCGGGTCGGAGAGCAGCGCGTACACCTCGTTGAGCACCACGGCCATGTCGTGGGAGGAGGGGCCGGCCGAGGCGTCTCCGTTGCCGGCGGCAACGTCCGGGTGGCAGCGCTTCTGCAGCGCCCGGTAGGCGGCCTTGATGTCGGCCTGCGGCGACGAGGGCTCCACCCCCAGCAGCTCGTACAGGTCGTAGTCCGTCGCCCACGACGACCCCGCGCGGCCGCTAGAGCTCGACGAGGAGGAAGAGCTGCTGGAGGAGGCGGCGGCTGGGCATCTGAGGCGGTGGCGGGAGGGCCTGAAGCTGGAGCACGGCCTGGGGTTGGCGAGGGGGGCGGCGGTGTTGAGGAGAAGCCCGGGCATGGCTGCTCCCCTCTGCTTTGCTTGATTGGCTTTGCTCCTCTGCCTCCCGAATGGTGGGAGAAGCTTGAGCGACTCGATCACGACACGTCGCGTCTTGTGAGCGAGATTTTTCCTCGCTGCTCCTTTGGAACTTTTCGCTCTGCCTTTTTACCGGTGTGCCCACGTACGGCGGCTGGGCACTGATATTTTGGACAAGCGTCGCTAGGCGCCAGAAATAAGGTAATACGTACTACTACTACTAGTAGGGATTTTCTTCTGTAAACAAATATTTCATCGGTAAGAAAACGAGGTATCCGGTACTTGGTTGGAAGGAAAAATCAAACGCTTTCAGCAGCTAGATTTTTCTTTCAGGAAACTTTTGATCTATTTCACCCAGCGACAACCACAAGCATTGAAAGAAGATGGAGTTCATCATTAGTCCTCATGGTGGACCTCTGTCCTCAGCTCGCCAGCGTCGGCGCGGAGATTGAGAGTTAGTCCAGGAGCGGATGCAGATTGTGGTCTGCATCGGCGACGACCTCGTGGACTAATGAACTAGCAGTTAGATTTTTCTTTCAGGAAACTTTTGATCTATTTCACGTAGCGACGACCACAAGCATTGAAAAAAGTTGAAGCTCATCATTGTCCATCCCTCAACGGAGCCAGGACAAATTATTATAGTAGACAATTGAAAAGTCATGTCACTGATGAAAAGAAGTAAGATTAAAAGGATTAAAACCATAGACACATGAATGAAGACGAACAAAGACTAGATCTAAGCAGATCCACCGGAGACACATCTCCATACGCACTCCGACGACATGAGACGCATCATCAAAACGAAGGCTATGCGGAAGAACCTTATTTCGTATTCAAGGAGTCGTCACCCCCTCATCTTTCTAAGCAGAATACAAACCCTAAACGAACTCACGAAAACACCTAAAATAAAGCAAGATCGCTCGGCACCTCACAGTTACTCCCTCTGGATGGGAATACATGTCGTGCATGGTTTTCTAGGTATTCAGTTTGACAAATGAAAGACTTGTAATATGCCATAAAAGTATAAAGTAAGAAACTTTATGCGACAATGAATCTACTAATATATTTTTGGATCTTCTTTGTTAGTAGAGGGAAATCCCTACATCTTCATGTTCGCATGCAGCCAATAATGTGAAAAGAATTTGCAAACCGAGCTTCAAATCAATTTCAAAATCATGGCATTAATACAATAAATTAGGCAGGCAGTTAATTACATGTGCAATTAATTAGATTCATTTAAATAGAGAGTATTCTTCACAACGAATCAATTTGAAGTTAGTAAACTAGCAAGAGAGTTAATTAAGGTTGCCTATAATTAGAAGCGGGGATTTTGTTTCAATTAGGCAGGTATTTAATTAATTAGACAGAGTTAATTATCTTTGTGGATAATTAGGCAGACATTTAATTATGTTTGTAATTAATTAGACATATAGTTAATCACGTCGAATCAATTTGAAAGCACTCGCGAGCGAGGACAGGCAGCAAGCTCTCGCTAACATTAGTGAGGCTACCATGACCCATAAGTATAGGGAATCGCAAGAGTTTTTAAGGGAAGTATTTTAATCCAAAATTATTAATTCGACACAAGTAGAGTCAAAGAATATTTATAAGTCTTAGCAGTTGAGTTGTCAATTCAACCACACCATAATAGGTAACTTGCTTACAATAATTTATTAGTAACAAAGTAATGTGATAGCAGTAATGATAAAGTAACAGTAACAGGATTTGCAGAGTGGTAGTAGATTGCAGCAGTAGCAACTTTTAAAGAAAGCAACAGTAGTATAAAGTGTAGGCATGGAGTATGCGACGTGTTTGTTCATATGAGGTTCAATATGCAACGGACATAACATAGAGCACATAGAGTGACAACAAACTAGCTTCAATTCATCAATCATATGTAAGCATTCATTCCATATTTAATTGTGTGTGCTTGCGATAAGAACTTGCACAATATCTTTTGCCCTACTCTTCATGGCAGCGGGACCCTGAAGAAAATTAAGTGTAATTAAGGCGCTCCTTTTGATAGAGAACAGAGAAACAACATTAACACACAATGAATACATGAAATCGTCAAGGTAAAGTCATCATTGTCGATATCCCAATTATTGTCATCTTGGGGTCTAGGATTCAGAACAATAACATGTGCATACAAATTGCAGATAAGACTAATAACACAAATATATTCATAAAAACATAGAGAGTTCAAATCTGAAATCATGGCACTCAAGTCCTAGTGATAAGCATTAAGCATATCAAAATTATAGCAACATCAATCTTAGAACATAGTGGATACTAGGCATCAAGATCTAACACATCTGACTTTGATTACATAAGAAATTTCATGCAAATTCCAACTACCTTTATGTGCCTACAAGAGAATTACTCACACATGGGTGGAAGCATCATAAGATTGTTGTTGTAGAAGGGTTGGTGATGATGACGTTAACGAATCTCCCTCTCTATAGCCAGAAACGCACTCCGTATCAGATCCCCAGAGGAAAAATAGGAGGTGGTGGCATCTCCGTATAGCAAAAAGCTTTCATGATTTTTCTGGATTTTCTCTGGTATATATATGTGAATTTATGACGGCGCAATCGCTCTAAGACGGTGGCTGAGGGGCCCAAACGCCCCCATGGAGCTCCCTAGGGGAGGTGCCACCTGCCCGTGTGAAGGACTGGTGACTCCCATCCGTCCCATCTTTGCTCCATAAATGATCAAATAATCTACAGTAATTCTCCAAAATCATCATCCGGTTTTGAGAATGTTTATTTCTGCACAAAAAATAACACCCTGACAATTCTACTGAAAACAACATCAGTCCGAGTTAGTTTTATTCAAATCATGCAAATTAGGGAGCAAAACAATGGCAAAAACAGTTTGGAAAAGTAGATACATTTGAGACGTATCAGCTCCCCTAGAGCTTAACTCATTGTTTGTCCTCAAGAATTCAGTTCACAAACTAGACGCGATAAAGAAAACTTTTACCAACTCATTTGCTTTTATAGACATACATAAATTTAATCAATGATTTAATTATAACAAGGACCATAGAGTAACCAAATTCATGATAACACTTAACAATCATGTTCACTCATGACCATAGCATAATCAACTAGAGAAACATAATAAAATATCACAAACATCAACACTTTGTGAAATTGACCATAATACAATATGATAGAATGCTATCTCGCTAGCCCTTTCTAAGACCGTAAAACATAAATGCAAAGCAATTCTGAAGTTCAAACAATGGCTAAACATTGTAATTATGGTTTTCAGCATAGAAGACATTCAGTCATGCTCCATTTAACATTAATTAGAACCAATGCATGGTAAACTAAGAATGACAATAGCACTCTCTAAGTTGGTGCTCGAATAAGAAGGTGATGACTCAAGAAAAAATAGCAATAAAGTAAAAGAAGGGCACTTTGCAGAGGGAAGCAAAGATTAACACGTGTCATAGCTCAAGCGGCAAAACAAAGATAAATTATTTTGATAGGTGTACATTTCAGTCAATGGTTTAACGACAGATAATCTCGTCATCTTACAGGCTAAACATGTGCGAGAGCGGTTCCCATGCTTAACACTCCCCCTCAACATCCTCTTGCCACAAATCATGGCTAGCCGAATTCACGGGTGCCTACTAGCATACCCTAGGGAGGAGTGCTTTCTATTTGTTTAATTGGTTCGGGACTGAGCATCCCATTGACCAACTATTTTTCCATTTAAACAAGTAGATGTCATACTTGTTGAGAGGAACACAATTTAGCATACAAGATAACTCTCTTCCCTACTGCTCCATGAGCTTTACGGGCACACAAACCAGATGCTTAGTTGAAGGTTTTGAGATGACACATGCAAATTTACTTGGAATGAAAGAGAAGTGCCATATGTAGGTAGATATATTGGACTCTTTGTATAGTTGATTTAAAAGAATTGGATGCGCAAGCAGCATTCCACTTAGTATAGCCGAAGGCTACACTACTGGAATCAGCTAATTTGCCATCTGCCAGCTCTTTGCCGTCTGCTAGCTGATGGCAAAGCAGCTCTTTGCCATCAGCTACCAAAAAGCAGACAGCAAAGAACTCGCAGACGGCAAAGAAGCTCTTTGCCGTCCGCCAGTTCTTTGCCGTCTGCTGGCAGATGGCAAAGAATCTTTGCCGTCAGCTGGCAGACGGCAAAGAAAGAGGGGTGACGGCAAAGAGGCAAAATGGCGGACGACAAAGAGAGGCGGACGGCAAAGAGGGCACTATCTAACGGCCCGTGCCCC